TGTATATGTATATATATATATATATATATGATCAATTGTGTGTGACCTGTGTGCTTCCTGGGGTAAACGCTCAGTTGCAAGTCGAAATGAGCCCCGTAGAGGCCAAGGGAAGGATAAATAAATATATATATTTTCTACATATTATTAGAATATATATTAACTCGATTAAATAAGCCTTTGAAACACCTAAATTGTAATATTTCCGAGGGGCTTCGCCCCCTAGAGCACACTCGAGAGGTTTTTTAGCGACTCTTAGAGCCTTCTAGTAGCAAAAATAACCTATAATAAAATAACCTATAATAAAGGCTTCGTTCTATCAGTTTCAGTTTCAGTTTATTTATTTGACCAAAAGATGGTCGGGGGCAGCTTAAGCAAACCAATCACTATAACTTTTTCAAGCCAGCTGCCCCCTCCCTCATAATATATACAATATGAAAAAGATAACAATTTAAATCACAAAAGACATAAAAAACATCAATAAGGAATAAAAAAAAAAAAAAAAAAACAAGTATGTATATATAAAAAAAATAAATTAATAAAAAAAAAATAAAACACCCCAGAGAAATGACAATTTAAACATTAAAATTACATTGAGAAAACATAATTACATTGCGTGAAAATAAGTATGAAGCGCATTTAAAACGGATCTAAGTGACTAAATATATATACAAAAAATTATGTTATTTTGACATGGTGGTAGTGTCTTCTCTACAAAGAAGATTGTGGAGATTTTAAGTTGCTAAGAGTACGATGCGATAGACGCGAGTGTGACTTATCCTTCATACTAAAGTAGGCAAAAAATGAAAAACTTTGCTATTTTAATGAACAGTAGCAAACAAATCGAAAAGTTAAGGCTAGTATAGAAACTTAAGCTTGTGGCTACAAAAGGCTACATAAAGCGGAGAAAATGTACAATATTATTATTTTTTTTTTTTGGGCGGGGGTGGGGGTGGTTATGCCAAGGTATGCACATGCATACATTCCTTGTCTTGACGGTCCGCCACTGTTTAAATCTGGTATTCTTTCCTAGTAAAAATTAGTAGCAGGCCTATTTAGAAAACATTATTTTAAAGTTTGTGTACTACACATAAACGTGTACAAAAGCGTATCTCATAGTATAGTGAACTGCTTGGAATTCACAACGAAACCCACCCATGGATACTGTTTGTAATATTACATGTTTTATACTGCAATGTATAAAATAAATCTTATGTAAATCATAATCAACTGAGCAATGTTTTTATAAATTGTTAGTATCATCTAGCTAAACATTATTATTATCTGATTTATAGCAGGATTATATAACAATTTATTATTGTTACTATAATTCTATTTGTATATTTTGTAGTTCGAATACAGTATATTGTGATTATAATTTAACTTTCTTTAAACATTTCCTTACCTCTCTTTTTTTTTTTATTCATTATTGTCAATACCATCAGGCCCGTAGCCAGGTCATTTCAAGGGGGGGAGGGTTCTCTGGGCGTGGGGTCCAGAGGTCAAAGACTTATTTAATCGAGTCTACTAATATGTAGAAAATACATATAATTTTTTTTACTCATCTATGAATTTGTTTTTTCCCCCCCGCTGGCGCCCCCGCTGGCGCCACCCCTGGTGGGGTTCAAGTGCCTGGGGACACGGTAGGGTCGGGGGCGACGCCCCTGAAGCCAGAGCAGTTTTTGTGTTTAATAGGTCTATAATAATGTTATAAAAGCAGTTTGGCCTATGTTTTGAAAAAGACTATGTAATGAAAAGGTGGTAATATAATAAAATTAGAAAAATATTTTCTGAGAATAGGCATGTTTAAATCACACCGAAAGATATAAAAAAAAAAAAGCTCATCGCATAACCAATATCAATATACTCAACACGTTTATTATTATTATTTTTCCTCTTCTTCTTCTTCTACTACTTCTTCTTGACTCTTATAATAATAGTACTATTTTACTACATGGCTAAAAAAGCACAAATACTGTCATTACTACTGATAGGGCCATCGTTAAATTAAGTCAGAGCCCAAAATATAGCATAATTCGAAATTATTATTTTAAGACATAATACATAGCCTACTGATTAATAATAGCTGAGATGCACAGTTTTTAGTATATCTTACTGAATATTTATTGTCTACAAAATGAAATATGACTTATATGCATCTTTAGAAATACAATTTCTACAATATTATTCTTGTTTTTATGTAGATAAATGTTCGATAAATTCTATCTTTCATAAAAAAAAAAAAAAACAAAACAAAAACAAAAACAAACAAACAAACGAAATTCAGCGCGTCTATTTTCATTCTAACCAATGGCGTTTGTAAACGTGCACGGACGTCATCGTCGAATCCCAGGATTTCCGACGGCAAAGCTGGCCTGCCTGCCTAGGTCCGTCCCAGGCCAACCAATAATAATTAACAAAATGTATTTTTTGTAGATATAGGCCTATGGCGCATCCTGTACATGCACTTCAACTTTAACAACAAAAGCCTAGGCCTAGTAGGCCTACCTGTAGTACGGTCTACTGTACTTAGGCCTACACTAGTTTGTTGTCGTCGGGGTATAATTCTGTATCTAAATGAACGAGGAGCGAACCTAGCTAGGCTAATTGATTTTAAAATCAATAACCCACCAGGACTATCTGTGGTTTTCTTCTTTGCAACAGCCGACCAAAAAAGTCAGTTATTGTACAACGTTTCATGATTCTTTATCACTAAACATTAACAAACACTCGTTTTGACGCACTCCGTTCTGTAGTGTGTCTGCTGTTGAAAACAAACTTCCTAGCCTAATTTTGTGACTGGCTATGATGACTGCGATGGACTATGTTGATTTATTAATAATATTTTGTTTGGGATGGAAAAAAAGGAGAGTCCATTTCCCCAAAAATACTCCATTAGCACATAGTTTAGTGTGCGCTATGGACAGTATGGCTATGGAATTTACTAACCATACAATCCACATTTAGGTGATTAAGTCGCAAAACTTTATCTGCATTTGGTGGATAAGTCGCAAAACTTTAGCTTCGTTTGGTGGCACCATTTACTCTAGGTAGACGGCGACCGGTTTCTTTACCGGTTGGTACATTTCTTACAAACATTCAGCCAAAGGCCAGTGAAAGTTGAGACGGCAGCCGGGTTTTTATCGATGTTTGCCATCCTTATGTATGCCATCGTAAAGTCATGGTTTGCTGGAATTGCGTTCTAATTTAAATCTCCGAACTTCTGAAGCTGAGATATTCTATGAATGTAGGCTTGTAATGCAGGCTCATTGAAAAATTCGAGGGGGTTCGCTAAAAAAAAGGGGGTTCGCCCGAACCGTGAACCCCCCCCCCCCTGGCTATACGGGCCTGACCATATCCTTCCTTAACTTTCCTTTCTTTTTACTTTTGTATTATTTGTTTCCTTTCTTTCATTTCATTTCCTGTTTTTTTTTTAATATTTGTATTTTTTTATTTTTTCTCATTCTCTGTCATTTTTCCTTTTCATTTCATGTTCTCTTTCATTTTCATATAACCATCACACGGGCGTTTTCCAAAAACCGAATGGTCCACTGATTAATCTCAGATAAGATAGTATAATACATACTCCAGGTATCGAAATGCACGCTAACGTGCATCATTAATGATGACATAATTAATGTCGAAATATTGAATCCCGACACGATGGCGTGCTTTTCGATACTTTGTGTATGTATTATACTATCTTATCACAGGTGCCATTGCCACCAAACCACCACCATCCTCATCATCATTTATAATTATCATCATCATCATCACCATCTCCATTTCTACTATCGTCATTTTCATAATAATCATCAAAATACTAATCATCATTATCATCATCACCATCATCATACTCACCACATCATTATAATCTTCACCATTTCCATCATCATATCATAATCATTCTTATAATTATCATAAATATCATCTAGATGTGTATAAGAGACAGCTATTTATACTTATAAATATACATTATATACCTATACACATAAATATATATATATATATATATATATAGAACTGGAGGTCGCTGGAACAGAATGTTGCTACTCGGAGTTTCACGCTATTGCGATCGTCAGGCATATATATATATATATATTTATCATTTACATGCATATATTTTTATTATTATAATTATTATAATAATATTTTTAATAATAATGATAATAATAATGATAATATTATTAATAATATTACTAATATTAATAATATTAATAATAATAATAATTGTTAAAACTTCACTTGCAGCTGAAATCATGAATAATAAATCCAAAAGATCGAAGCGAAATTAAGATGAACACAAAGTTTAACGAAATAACCATTTATTCACAAACATGTTTCTCCTGTTTCCTACAGGCATCATCATTGTTAACTAAAAACAACTGCAAAACAGAAAATTGCTTATAATACAGCCTGAATCAACTCAGGTGTCGTTAATGACTGCATTAACTCTCCACTACGTGGCAACCACAGTACGAAACACGCCTTATTTCTAATTGGTCAAATATGATGAATACATTAATTTTCAACGACGTGGCAACAAACGACACTTTGTCTACTTGTCACGACACCTGAGCTATTCAGGCTGTATTATAAGCATTTTTTTGTTTTGCAGTTGTTTTCAGTTAATGATGCCTGTAAGAAACAGGAGAAACATGTTTGTGAATAAATGGTTTATTTCGTTAAAATTTGTGTTCATCTTGATTTCGCTTCGATCTGTTGGATTTATATTATTCATGATTACAGCAGCAAAAGTGAAGTTTTCAAGGCTGAATTGAGGAAACTAGAAAAGCTACTCAAGAAATCATGTTAAGCAGAAGCTGATTTGAATTTTCTTAACAATTGTAAACAATTCAGCGTTTTTCCTAAGTTTCTATCATTTAAAATAATAATAATAATAATAATAATAATAATAATAATAATAATAATAAATTATTATTATTAATAATAATAATGAATTTATGTTATTCAATTATCGTATAAATAGGTGAATCAACTGGCAGGATAGATTCGTTGAAGTAAGATCAGAGACATACTCGGGTTTTGAGATAGCGATTAAAATGGTTACACCACAACAAATCCCCCTTATCATTGAGCAACTGGAGCTAAGCAAGTATTATCCAAAAAAATTAACGCGAGAAAAGGCACTGGCAGTTTCGGATATTAGAATTACAACCAATGATCTCAAGGAAGCTGGCAAAATTCCTTGGTTTATTTTGCAAAATCTTTTGATGTGTAACTATGAAGGAAGATGTTTTGAAGTAAGCCAAGATAATTCATCACTTCCTAAAATGGGAGATTCGTTTTCTTTTTTTACAAGCCACTCCAATACAGCAAGCAAAACCGGTGACACAGAACAGATAAGCCCATCGGATGCACTAATAGCTCTTTTTTGGTGCTGTGACGATTTCTTGAGGCAAATTTTAGTAGAAAAAATGTCCATGTGTCAGCTTGCTGTTCCACTGATATTACCTTTGAAAGACGTTAATTCACATGGAAGTGAAATGAATTGGGCGATGAGCAAGCTGAGATTGGAAGACGTCGATTCACATGGAAGTGAAATGCTTATATGGGCTATGAGTACGCTAAGAAAGCAATGGAAAACAAGTCTAGGATCCTGCGAACACTCAATGACCATGTATCCTTTGCCGATTATATCTGTCATTCGCTTAGGCAGACCTCTGATATCAAAATCAAAGATAATTAACTATGTTATCAGTGATCTGAGACATAACGTTTTTTTTCACTCTGAATGCGATGGTGGTACTTTGGAAAGAAAAATCTCTGACGGGTTACTAGAAATTGCATGGTACCTTCCGACCGGAAAACCCAAAGACATTTCAACCGAAGGGCTTACCTTCTTAAATTTGAGAGGTAATGCATCTCATCTTAAAACAGAAACAGAATTTTTATCCGAAATATCACTTGTAACTATTGCATTTGCATCTTCTATGAAACCAAAGGAAGAAGATGTTACTTTACTTGAAACATTGTACGAACAAAATGGCCACTTAATTCTTGTAACCGACGGGCAACCTTCAAAAGAGTTCACTTGCTCACTTGATTTGTTGTCGCGAAAGTGTGATAAGAAAGAGAATAAACACTTTGGATGCATTGATTCTTCAAACAAAAATGAATCACAAACAAGTAAGGAAATTAGGAGGTTGCTTATTGACATTTGTAAAAATGGTAGTCGCATTGTACCAGATAAGAGCATTGAAATGTGCACTGATATTGCAAAACGATTGTGTTTTAATTTTGATGAAAGCAGTGGAGATTGTGTGGAAGCAAAAGAGAGTGCAGACATGATGTTCAGTGATTTGAAAAAGCATGACAAAGGAAAACGGCTACCTTTGCAAGAAATTGCTATAAGATTAGGAGAAAAAGAGAAAGAAATGTATCAATTGAAACACAAAGGAAACCAGCAAGTAGAGAAGTACGTGGAGAGTGTACAATCAGATATAAAGTCGTTGCGGATGACTCAGAAAGAAAAGTGCGACGAAGATCAAGGTATTCTAGCACTTTTCGAAAGGTCTTTTACATATCCTATTTTAAAGAGGAGATATTTTCATAGCTTTGTTAAGATAATGGGAGACAAACAGAGCATTGAAGCACTGCAGCCAATACGCAAGGAATATACTGATAAATGGAAAAAGCTTTGTGAAGATCTGCAGGAAAAACGAATCACAGAAAAACAAACAACATTGATAAAAAAGGAACTTGACTGTCTTGAAGAAAAACTGTCTGATCTTTCATTGAGCTTAGAACACTTCAATAGAGAAGTCGCACAAATGTATGAAATGAAATCGTTTTTGAAGCTACTAGATGATTCAACACTTCAATTTCCTGTCGTTGCAGCGAAACTTTTGCTTAATGGATATCCTCTGGAATTAATGGATGGAGACGCGTCTCTAGTTCCACTTATTTGGATTGAAGCTGTCTTGGCTACTTTAAAAGATGAAATTGGTAATAATAGTATGTTTGTGTTATCAGTTCTTGGTGTCCAAAATAGCGGAAAATCAACCATGCTTAACACAATGTTTGGTTTACAATTTGCTGTCAGTGCAGGAAGGTGTACTAAAGGTGTATTTGCCCAATTGTTGCCGGTGGATGGAACTTTACAAGAAAGTACTGGGTGTGATTACATCATGGTGATTGACACAGAAGGTTTACGTGCTCCAGAGTTAGCAAGCATTGCACATAGTAACCGTGACAATGAACTGGCTACGCTTGTGATTGGTTTAGGTGATGCTACAATCATAAACATCATGGGAGAAAATACAAGTGAAATACAGGATATTCTTCAAATTGTGGTCCATGCGTTCATGAAAATGAAATGTGTAAACATTAAACCCAGTTGTATATTTGTACATCAAAATGTTACCGATGTTACAGCGGCCGATGTAAATACGACTCAAAAGAGAAAGATAAAGGAAATATTGGATGAGATTACAAAATGTGCTGCAAACGAAGAAAACTGCAGTGAAAGATTTAAAACGTTTTCAGACGTCATTCAATTCAAGGAGCATAAACACGTGATGTACATCTCTAATCTTTGGGAAGGAGATCCTCCTATGGCATCTCCTAATCCAGGTTACAGTGAAGGTATTTTGCAGGTTAAGAGACAGATCATACAATTCATGCAACAATCACAAGGTAGATCATTTAAAGACTTCCAATGTAGGCTGTCCGATCTCTGGAAAGCGATCCTCTGTGAAAACTTTGTATTCAGCTTCAAGAATACTATTGAAATTCAAGCTTTTAATGCTTTAGAATCAGAATATTTGACAAATTCTCGTAAATTAAGAAGGAATGCAATGGAATACATGAATATCCTTCAGGTACAATGCAAAAAACTCACTGCCAAAGATATAGTAGACGTTGGTAAAAAAATACTAGAAGATCAGATTTCTAACGTATGTGACGATGTTCAAACTTTGCGTAAAAACATGAATGAGTATTTTGACAGAGAAACAATGGCGTGTCAATGGAAGAGTAGAACATTTTCGAAAATTGATGAATTATCCAAAGATATTATGAAGGAAATAAATGATGAATTTGTTTCCTTAAAAAATAAAATAATTGGAAGAAATACAATTGACTCAAGCATGAAAAAATATGAAAAGGATATCCTAGAAAAAGCTAAAGACCTTGCTGACATGTTCCGTGATAAGAAATTATCCGATTCAGATTTGAAAAAAAAGTTTGATGACAAATGGAAGAATTGGATTGACGACATACCACTATGTGTAAACTTAGATATCGATATACAATCTTCCCTTGAAAGAGTAATAATTGAATCATCTTGTTCACGTTACCAAGAGCAGATTTATCGTATGTTTCATAGTGAATGCTCTTCACCCAGGTCTCAGACATGGGTAACTGAAGATGATTTGAATTCTGGCTGTTGGACTGAAGAACACGCAACAATTATTTCCAATCATGCAGTTAGTAAATCAACATGTATCGACAAAACAAAGTTATTTACGGAAACTGTACGATCAAATGTATTACAAAAGATTTCAAATTACAGACATGAGGGTAAAAATTACAGTGATCAGTTTGGGAATCATATCGTGGATTTCATAACCGGGCAACTGTCGGAACAAAAGATGGACAACAAAGCAATCTTCACTGATTTAGGATTAGTTCGGGTAGCAGTACGTATTGTGTGGTCGGTAATGTCAGAGTTAAATAATTTGAAAGATAAGTACAAGGAAGAGAACGATCTAAGATGTTACATGGAGTCTCAAAAGGACAGGTTGTGGCAAATGTTTAGAGATGAATGTACGACGGTAGAAATAAGCGTCAAAACAGCGTCTATGGTATGTCGGGAGTTGGAAAATGCTATTAAAATTTCTCTTCCGAATCTGTGTAAAAACGGAGTTATCGATCATTTGCGAACTTCTAACACTCAAGCATTTGCTAATAAGATGTCACTTCATGCACAAATGCTGATAGATTTGGCAGAAAAACATAATTTTAAACCTTATCAAAACTATTTACAAAATCCTCATGAATGTATGAGAACATATATAGGACAATGTATACACAATGTGTGTTTAAGTGAAATGACAAAAGGAAAACCTGCTATTTTGAAAGAAATATATTGTAAGACATTAGACAACATTTTTCTCAAGGCAGATAAAGCAATTAATGGCACATGTAAATATTTACAAGATAAATGCAAGATTAGCAGTTTCTGGAGTAAATTAATGGAACATATCGGTAATGATTTGGATGTAAAAAATGAGTTAGGATTCTTTAACGAAGATTGTAATTTTGATGTAGAAGAATCTAAAAATATGTTGCTAACTGAATTAAGACAATCTAAAAAGAAACTCATAAAAGAATACAACGGGGAGAAAGTTTTAGATGGTATTCTCAAGGGATGTCAAAAGTTTTTTGAAAAAGACCTTCTTGGATGCCCTGAACTGTGTCCGTTTTGCAAAGCTCCATGCGAACTTCAAGGTGGATATGACGACCATCGCACAGAATACCATCGGCCACAAGGAGTGTCTGGGTATTATTTAGAAGACACTAAAAAACTCGTTACCAGCGTATGCACATCGAGTGTGAGGACACAAGATACATTCAGAAATAAAGACACTAATTACAGACTTCACCTTTTTAAAGATTTCCAAAGTGTTAATAAATTCTACAAAGCATGGAAGATCCAGCCAACTGATATTGAGTCTCAGCTCTATTGGAAATGGTTTATGGCAAAATACAATAAGCAACTTGCTGATTACTATAATGTAAAGAAAGCAGATATTCCAAATGGATGGAAGAAAATCAGCTGGGAATCAGCAAAGGAAGACATGATTAAAACTTATAATCTATAATAAAAACACAATACTTCAATTATACTGGAAGTAAATTAACAAAGACGTGTTTAAAACGTACAGAAAATTAAACTAAAAAATGATAGTATCTAATAGCAAAATTTCGGTTCCATGTTGTCCTTAAATGTTTGAGAAAATATTAGCTATGATAATAATTTTTTTAAACGATGTAGGTCCTAATAGGTGGCACGTATACACATGATTATATGGTAGTAAAATGTAACCACTAATCCTTAGTCGCTTTATGTTTAATTACCTGTTTATTTGTAAATTGACGTCAGTTTTTGCTAGGCACTTCTTTGTATCATCGTTTTTCCTTTATTTTCATTTGCTTTGCTAGTTTGTAGACGATGATAGGTGTACGTAAAATGAATAATGTGAAGCAATGACTTTTAACTCTACCTGTACTGTTAGAGGGTAGAAAAAACCCTATGCAAAAACAAAGAAGAAAAAGAAGAAGAATGAAAGAAAAACAGAGCAGAACAGAAACAATACCCTTTGCGCTGTAACGTTAATAGTCCATAATAGGTCTAATGATAATAAGCAAAGTAATAAAAGCAAGAAAAATAACGATAACAATAGTGATGATGACACCGGAGGTGAGCAAGGTTTGGGGGTGGGGGTGGACGAATAGAGGTATAGCCTCCCGTCCTGTTGGAAATATAATAGGCCAAGAAGTGTTGATCTTATTCATCGTCAAGATGATGGTACTTATTTGAGTAAAATACCCTTTTTAGATAATTTAAAAAAAAAAATAAATAAATAAAGAAAATAAAAGCAGTTCTTACTAGTCGTGGTGTTTCTCCATACTACTGTGATTGTGATACAGGGATTTCAGACTACCTATGCCATCAAATAATTAAATAGTCAATCTATTTTCCAGAGTAGGATATCTGTGACGACATGAGACATCCATGGATGTCTTTTACATGAATCAACGATCATATTCAGTTCGTCGTATGTATTTACCAATAATGTTTAGACATGCGAAGGACCAAAATGTAGGCGTATTCGTATTCATTTTCGTAAGGTTGTAAAACCCTTTAGAAAATAAACTCCGCGTCTTATATGTAGACCTTGCACTTCTCTTATACACATCTAGATGTGTATAAGAGACAGAGTGATAGTTCAATTTGTTTTATAGTGCTATAATATAATATAGTGTTATATAAAAAGTATTTCTTGATGTTTGCTATTCTTATGTTTTATAATAATGTAGTTATATTGTGCGAATTACAGTGGCATTAGACGTTGATGACTGATTTTCTAATGGCGAGGATGTGATAGTACTCGAGAATGTTGTTGAAGTTGTCCTACAGATGCCAAAACGAAAAAAAATTACATTTAAGAGTTTATCTATATTCGTTGGATAGACACAAACAAAAACAATGTTTTTTAAGTGTAAATCGGAAGTTATAGTTTTAGTTGCTGTAAAATAACTTAGGCTTATAAAGGCCTATAGTTTAAGAACTGTAAACTAGTTTACAGACTAGAATAGCATAAAATGAAATAGAAATTATATTTGATTGTTATTTTAATTTTCCTCGGTACGAAAAAGAAAAAAAAATATATTGCAGAAGAGTTTTCATATATCATTTTTATAGCATCTATGGAGGTTATATTCTCAAATGATCTAAACGCACATCATGAGGTGGAGGGAGGGGATAAGACGAGACTGACTATGTGTTCACTCAGTGTTGATTATTGATTATGAAGCCGGTTTTCCACAAGGCAAATTTATTCGGGCGAATCAATCTTCGGTACGCTTTCTGAGCTCTGATTGGTTGCGCATTTTTTCGCTTCGCTAAAAACCTGGTAGAAATGTGAATGCGCATGCCTATGAACCAACGCTTTCTATTCGCGCGAATAAATTCGCCTATTGAAAAACCGGCTTAACCCATTGACCCCTAGATTTTACAGTTACAGTATGCGTACTGTGTGATCACACAGTGTGTTAGCAGTGCGAACATAGTCAGGAGTGTGAACGATACTACACATTGTGTAAACACACTGTTACTATGTGTGCAAATTGGTTCTCGAACGAGATAACGAAGGCCCTCTATTACAGTTTTTCACTCGGTTGTGCACTGCTTGAGTAATAGAAGTGAAAATATATTTTCAATCACCCTAGACTTTCTGATTACGTATAATACATAACTCCGTAGTTTGCATGGTAGTATACAATTTTTTATTGTTCTTTAATTAAAGCTGTTGCACAAAGAGTGACTGAATGAATTACTCATAACTAATACCAAAATGTAACTAATTTTACTGTAACTATATACTATTATTATGCTCCTTGCAGTGTCGTGGTGTAGCTTTAGTTAAATTAGCCTACACATTTTTCCAAATAAAAGAGCATGTTTTCATGAATAAACGGTTTAATGTGTTAAGTACAACCCAGACAGTGTCAAACGTCAAACGATGTAGCCCGTAGTAGAATATAGAATATTAAATATTAATATTCTCACGGCGATATCACATCGGTCACCGTCGTAAGACGCTGTCTGAATTTGTTGACCTTTAAAAAACTGATTATTTAAGAGCTTGTCGCTACCCCTTTAATTCTATTAAAAATAAGACTATGATCATTTTGTAGGCCTAGGCCTATATTATAATTCCAAATAAGGTTGTTGGTGGTTGTGAGTACGGTAGTGAATAGAAATGTGGTAATGGCAATTGGCATTGATGTTTAATATCAAATTGAAATAAAACCTGTGCACTTTTTTCTTTTTTTCTTGTATTGTTTCTTTTTTTCTATAGATTTAATAAATGTGTGTAATGAATGAATGAAAGTAGTTACATATCGTACTATGCCAGCGCCATAAATTCCCCTAATAGGACTCCCAAGCCCCAAAAAGTTACCACATTTACTCAGGCCCACCATGGTTGGGGCTTAGGTGAGCAAATTTTAAAAATAGTACACCTTTAGATTCCTTGAAATGGAACTTTGAGACAATAAATGTTTTGTTTTTGAAGCAATGTTTTGAACAGAATGCGCAATGGCATGCTCCCCGGATCCGCCGCTCAGTGGTTCGCATCATAGCTGCGCCCCACTTGATCAGTTAATCCCATCAGTTTCCCCTTCTCCATGTCAATAATCTACACCACTAAATACACAATAAGCACCATACACTCAGAAAAATCCAGACTCATCTTGGTAACAATGCCAGATAAGTGGTCGTGTTAAAAATAATGCACGGGCCGGGGGTTAAATACCGGGGTGTACTATATTTTAAGCATGTTTTAATATTGTCAACAAAAAGCCTTGTCTGAAAGCTGCATACACGAAGCGTTGAATGCTGAAGAGGTAACCTCAGTTTAACGCCGTACCGGTGTTGTCATGCTTTGTTTTTGGATATGATGTGACTGTCCGTTATGGGGATATGGCAGATGTTGCATCTGGGGTTCCAGGTTACTGCAAGGTTTGTTACCTGTACATTCGGGCAGGGGCGGATCCATAATATGGATCTGCCCCTGCTCAAAAGAGGGGTCCGAAAGGGGGGACCGTAGTGGGGCCGATCGAGACAACACTATACCTAGGGGGTCCGGGGGCATTCCCCCGCGACCTTTTTTGTTTTCTAGACGCCCAAAAATAACCTCTGAGGCGTTTTAAGTGATCAAATATTTTTTTTTTTAACTTTCGAAAAGGGTAAGGGGCGGGGTGGGCCCCCTCTAAATTCGCCCCTGCATTCGGGTTAACAACATTTAATAATAGCTGCAGCAGCTAAAATAAAATTTAGAATCACCATTTGTTAAATATCTTTCTTACTAATATTTATTAGTTAGATAAATAGGTTTCTTTTCAGGAATAATCAAGCATTTACACACTTACTCATTTTTTTATATACAATTCTGCAACCGTTACAAAAACATCAAAATGCATATTAAAAAAAATTGTTTTATTTTTGTTTCCAATATTATTCTCATAAAATCAATGAGCCCAGTTCTTGTGAAATACTATTTAAAGAAAATAATTTTTAATACGCATTCTCAATTATTTGTATGATTATATAAATGTCAAAATAGAAAACTGTTTTGTTGTGGCTAGCTAACAAATATTGTTCATGGTGTGTCTATTTACTGTGAAATAGCCGATATAGAAAACACAGATTACACAGAATAACGCACACTAAAAATATGAACAAACAAAAACAAAAAAACAAATAGAGCCCCCCTCCCAAAAAAAAAAAAAAAAAAGAAAAGGTAAAAAGAAAAGAAAAAACTTTACACATTTTTCGTTTAACGTCTTAATTTTACTATAAATGATTGAGTGTTTGTGCCTATTTGTTTTTGTTAATGTGTAACACTTCTAATTTAATATTTAGGCCCTATGCTTACGGTTCTACAATAGAAAAAAAACCCATTGTTTTACTCTCGGAGTTTTTCTAAATTTACTAAAGCTGGGAGAGATCCTCGGGGTTCATTTAGTATTAACTTTTTCCTAATAGGCCTACATGGAATAAGTTTACTTACAAAATGTAA